TTTTAATATTTTTTCGATAATAATTATATTTAACATATTAATTAAAAGAAAAACAAAAATCGATTCACCTAAACCCAACCAATTTCGCATCAAGTCGTCCAAGTATCCGTCTTACCAAATGCCTCCTTTCTTCTTTTAGGGAATATTATAGATTTTGTTGTTGATCACATGTTACAATGAGCAAAACTACAAAAACGACAACTCATTTCTAGCCGTCTTAATTTAATAAAGTAGGCAATGATATCGTTCTTATATAAAAACATTGAATATGATCTAATAAAAGTATTGATTGATAAGATAACCTAAAATACCTAAATGAAAAAAAGGAAAAAAGGAAAAAAAAAAAAAGAATTGCAAAATTATTGTGTAAGAAAACTAAAAAAAGTAACTTGATTATGTGAATCATAATGTTTCTATAAATGGATTTTTGTTGTTTTTTTGGTTAAACGAAAAAAATAGACAATATATTTTATTGTTTACCATATTATTTTACTTTTATTTTTTAGTATTATATTATATTTTGAGAAATGAGAAATCTACCAAAAGTCCAAAACATTATATCTCATTTAAATATAAAATAATCTTTATTATATATTTGATATATAGATGTGCTAAGTATTATGTCATAAGAAAAAAAAACTTAAAATAAAATGCTGCAACAGAAAAAATAATTCCTATAATACAAAAATAAATTGACATATACTAATATTTTTAGCATTTAATTAGTTCAATCGTCTATGTTGATGGTATTCCAAATTATGAAAAATTAGTCTTAGTTCTTTTGAAATACGTTGAAAACTAGGTTGTACAGATTAAATTATATATAAGATTATTTTATGTTTTTTAAGATTGTAATCGTAAGATTAAATCATGATCATAAATCCCTTCCAAATGCAATTTAAAGCATAAAAAATACACCAGTTTTCAATAAACAATTTCACAAGTTCATATTCAATCTTACGATTTTACGCCTATCTTACCCTAAAATGATCTATGTATGATCTGAATCAATTTATTTAGATGAGATCGTACGATCCTAAACACGATTTAACAACCTTGATTGAAACCAATTGATGATAAAACTGTACCAGTAACCGTCACACAAACATCCTCCCCATACCCATCATCTGAAAGGTAAATTGCAAATGTATTATTGATTACATTCTCCAACAGTAAGTCTCACTACATTGAAACAATATTGATCACTTATGATCTTGTAGAATCAATTTTGTATGACATCGAATATAAATGGTACAAATTCAATTGATAAATAAAGAGAACTATTTTATAAGAACATCAAAACAGTGAAATATTATATTATTTATAGATGCCTTAATGATAAAGAGTTGGGCATTGTTATTATTCCCCTAAAAAGTTTACACATTAAAAATATACTTGAAAGTCAATAGTAAATAAATCTATTAAAAGAAAAGAAAGCTTACCTTTGTCGATAGTTATATAAATATAATTAATTGAATATATTCAACTAGTTTCAATAAAAATTATTTTTTATCAATTACATTTTTAGCTATCACTATCAGCTACCTTTTCATATAACAATTAGTTTTTCAATTATCCATTAACTTTTTAGCTAACAATTAGTTTTTCAGTTAGTACATCAAACATAAACTTGATCCAATTTATAGTTAATTTAATATATTTTACTTATTAATATATTTTACTTATTTGATTTTTTAAGAGAAATATCTATTTTTATATCAAGGGGTTGAAATCATTGTTTAAAAAGAGGATTCATTTCGTATCAAAATCCATAGACACTTAGAATATTTATTTTCTTATAATATGAATTGAGTGAGGTCCAATACAAACAAATTATGTTGATTAAAATTTTGAAAAAAGCAAAAGAAAAAGAAAATTTTAAGAAGGAATGTTATATTTGAAAAGACAAGATGTCTTTGTCAAAGCATTTAACATCTTTATCTCACAACCACCGATTTCTAATTTTATACCAAAAATTAGAACCCAAAGCTCCTTTCTTACATCCAAACAATCCAACCATTTCATTCATTCCCATTTAAAACTCAAACAATCCAATCATTCCATCTACAACACCCCACTCATATTTGCACCATACAAAACAATGCCTCTTTTAGATGGAATAGAGACAAAAAAAAAAAAAAAGTAGTCGGATTTTAATGGTTTTCTTTATTAATAATATGCCTTATAATCATATACCTACATTACTATAATTGTATGGATCACATTATTTTATTTGATTCAAAGTTTAGAAATCTTATTGCCCATTCGTTTTCCTAAAACAATGATATCCATATCTTTAAGTGTTCTTACCTTACATGGTTATTCAAAACGTAACACTATAAATGATTTATTTATTCTGATTTCCTAATATAATCTGATCTGGATTATGCATCGTTGAAGTATTTATAGTTGTATTTTTATGTATATAGACACCAGTCTAGTCTAACTATATTCATGTCGGATGCATCCAATATGTAGCATATATAACTTAAGAATGAAAAATGCATTGGGTTAAATGGAACTTGATGATTGGTTTGAAGGAAATAGGTGGCAACAAAATTGAAAGTTTGGAAAGGTTCAACTATGATCTTCTCCACAAATAGAGTTGTAGGGTGGTGAATGAAACTAATGCGCTTTGGGTCAAAATGGTTAAAGCGTTGTATGGTTTGTAGTTAAAGTGTGAAGAATTGTATAGATAAACGTATGTTATGAATTCTACTAGATGGAATAATTATGTGCATCAAAAGATAAACATATTGGTGCGGTGGCTGCTTTTGAGTTTTGAGTAGACTTCTTGATGGAAGTAATCTTGATGGGAAGGGGCGGATATTCTTCAATTCTATGTCGCATTGTGCTAAAATTGAAGATATTAACCATTATACTCTAATACTAAATTGACAAATGGATATTTTCATCGATATATTCAATCTTTCTATTTTGCTAAAATGATATTTTCTGCTCTTATACTTTGTCAAATGTTATTTTTACTCCCTAAACTTTAAACTTTTTAAATTATGACTTTCACCTCTATACTTTGTAACTTTCTAAAATGTCATTCTCACATTCTCTATTTTTTAAACTTTCGTGTTTACCTCCGCAGTATATATAATCGACGTAAATTTAGAACTTTCGTTCATTAATTTTTTTTTTTAAAAAAATTACTTGTTGTTTTTATGTAACTGTCGGTATAAATTCTAGCTTGTTTACGTTTCGATGTAATTTTTTTTTACGTTTTCGTGCTTATTTTTCTATACTCTTCTTATGTATTAGTCATGTCACATATAAATATGTTTTTTTTTATTATCTGAACTTCCATTCAATGACTAAAAAAAATAAACTTATTTAGTTATTTTTATATACGTGACAGTATATATTCGAGTTTATTTATATTTCATCGTAAATTTTGTGCACGTTTTTGTGCTTACTTTTATGTACGTTTCCTATATATGAGTCACATATAATACGTTTTCATTTGACGGTATAAATTGGAGTTATCATACTACATACTAAATTAAAGTATCAACACACTTCTTTTTGTCTGACTTTAGCCCTTGTGTTTTGGTTGTTCACATTTTAGTCCTTGCTTTTGTGACGAAATATGTATATGGGGAAATTTAGTTACATATGTCCACCTTCGTATATGTGTCATTATTTGGTTTTTCCTTTTGCTTTTTCTTTGATTTTAGGACTTTTTTTTGTAAATATCTACTTTAATAAATTAAAATAATTTTGTCACATGTCTTTTTCTCATTACATTTGACACATGTCATTTTCTAAGATTTTTTGATTTTTTTTCCACTTGTCATTTTCTTATGTTTTTCATTTTTTAAAAATTTAAAATTCACTATTTAGTAAGAGTTTATATATGGTAGACACATTAATTCAATTAATCTTGAAAATAAATGCTCTGGCAGTTTCTTTCCTTAGTAAAGGTTTATATATTGTAGGTACTTAATACATATTTCAAGGGATTATCATTAAGCATTTTTTAAGTTATGTATTTAGGTAAAAAAATTATTTCAATATATATATATATATATATATATATATATATATATATATATATATACACTTAAGAAAATAATAAGTATTTTATCTATCTATAATATTTTTTAAACGTTATATGACAATTAAGTAGTATATATATATATATATATATATATATATATATATATATATATATATATATATATATTATTCATGTAATACATATAGAAACAAACAACGAATAAAATATGAATTTACATTTTACTAAACTCAAGTCATGTAAACTATATAGTGATTAACTATATTTTTATATAGCTACACATTTAAATTTATAATGTCTCCAATTTAATAATTGAACTTTTAAAATTTGATAACATTTTTTCATCATAATTTTATTTTAGGATTTATTATTGTTTTAAAGATAAAAACATAATATGGATTCAAACGACTCTAAAGACAAACGCAAACATATAAAATTATATTTATATAAAAGAAAATTCAGTATTATGTCCACCATATCAATATGTCAATAGTTTTTTTAATAGTATACATTCAATTACCTACTTACTATCATTTCATTTGTATTTATTTCGAAAGTTTAGTTTAAAAAAATATTTCCTGCTTACACCGTAGTTTTCAACATTATTTTTTAAAATATGACAATGTTTTTCTATTAGTATATATTGAATTACTTACTTTATTCATTATTATATCCTCTTTATTTATGTATAAGTATTACTTTAAAAAATACGTAATGTTTACAACTTTATATTAAACTTTTATTTTTAATAAATTTGTGTACTACACGGGTCTTACACCTAGTGTTCTGTATATCTAGATATATCCGGATGCATCCAATATAGCATATATGACTCGTAACCTTAATCAATTTACATGATATATGAACTTTCTTTTGCTTTTCTCCAATGTGTATTTAAACTATTTCCACAAATATGAAAAGGAGACCCAGCCAACCAAATATAAAAATATGAAAAATTAATTATACAAAGACTAACGTGTTCTTAATTCCTTCAAAAAAAAAAGATTCAAATTTCTAAAAAAGAAACACCTAACAACGATGTAACAAAATGTAAATACACAAAACCCAACAAGGAAGATGAACCAGACATATATAGATATAAGTCGCACTATTCCAAGCCCATAAAGACTCAACCCAATACCAAAACTCATCAAAACCCGACCCGTTTTCAATCCCAAACAAACCTCTCACCACGAAAAAACCCGACCCGGGGAACCCGAAAACTATTAGAACAAAACTAAAAAACGATTGAATTTTCCCCGCTACTCTCCACGGCCTAATCATCAAACACATCGGAACCAAAAACATCGCTCCGATCTCCGCCGTCGCGAAGTTAATCACCGACATCAGACACAGTCCGACGAACGACGCCGACACCGTGACGGATTTCAACAGAGTCCATTCAGAATACGATCTGAAGAACGACCGGAGAACAATTAGGGCAAAAATCGAGAGGGAAATCCAGGTGAGAAGACGGGAGGTTGGATTTGCATCGGGGATTTGGTATGTGAAATACGGAAGTAAGGAGACGATGGCGCCCCATAGATGGATTAGAAACACGGTTTTTGTAGGGTGAAGCCATCGCCATGATTTGAATGACGTTGACGGAGGATTTTTTGAGTTATTCGCGTCGGAGAAGAGAGATGCGGCGGCGATGGGGAGTGGCGCGACGAGGAGTAAGAAAGGGATCATGTAAACTCCGACGGATATGAATCTGTTTGAAGATGTTAGAAGGTATAAGAAGAAGGACTGGTGGAATTTTTCCAAGAGGTTGTTCACTGATCGTATAACTCCTTCGATCAAACTGCATTTTAAGAAATCGGATGATTTTGAACGCGATTTAGAAAGAAAAAACCCTAATTTGGATTAGAATTCAGAAAGCGTACCTTCCACCTCGAAATAAAAACTCCGTTTGTCTGCTTTTACTAATCGAAGACAGTTTCGGTGAAATCTCCATTGTAATCGCATCAACTTGATAATCACGAAAAGCGCCATGGGAGCCTGTGGGGACACCTAACGCCTAATAAACAGACAAAAAGTTAAATAAAGGACTTAATTTGAACAAAATTACAAAGTTTAGGGACCTATAAGTACAATTAACCTGGTTATAGAGTGAACTAACAAGAGTAGCACTTCCCTCAACATACTCCTTTACAGAAACACCAAACTTCCATTGAGGATTCAAGCTTCTAGCAATCTTCCCTACAAACTCAAACACATGACCAATAACCTTCAGCCACGTGGCATCAACTAATGACATAAACTTCTCCACTCTTACTCTAAAACCCTGTCCATGAACAGCTAAATAACTAGCAATATTTATAAGATCAAGATTTGGCATTTGTCCATTAGATGCCTCAGCATAAATGTTCAATGAATCTTGCTCAAATTCTTCACTTGTGTCTGCAACCTTAATCACAAGAGCAGCTGCCATTGTTCCAGCTCGTCTAAAACTATCAGATACTGATACTGATACAGATACTGTAGAATCCAAGTTTGATTCATGACAGGTGTCAAATGAAGGGGAATGATAGTGTCTTAACCAAGCAGCAACTGAATTGTATTGACCATATTGTGAATCTGCAGCTAGCCATATGATATCTTTGGCTAGCCAACTGACTTGGGTTAACAATGAAAATGCTGAATATGCGATTCCTAAAGAGAGAGCTTCAGTTTGAGAAAGATTAAGAGGGTTGTAAGGGGTTACTAACACAATGGATTCTTTTCCATCACCACGTGGGGCCCGAATGATGCCTATGGTGTTTATGGCGAAAGATTCACAGGTTTTGTTCACAAAGTTTGCTTCTGCATTAGGGCTGGTGAAAAAGTGAAGAGGGTGGAAGTTGTTTTGTTGAGTTTGGAACTTATGGTAGCTCACTTCTCCACCCATGTTTGCCATATGAAGTGCTATTAATCTTGGGATTTCTCTGTGTTCATAGATCAATATTCAAAAAGCATGAAAAGTGTATGTAAATTATTACATGGAAGAAATCATTTGAGGATTTACTTACATGCCACTGTTTTGGGACTTCGATTTCAAGCTATTTAGCTCATTGATAAATCTTGTTGCCCCAGAAACATCTTGATCAGAGATCATGGAACTGGCAGAACCTGTGAGATGATTGTATGATCAAAGGATATGACATATGGAAATAAGCTGTTGAGATAATCAGTTATGGATAATGAAGATCATTCGACAATCACTAGCTTGTAATAAATCGGTTTGACGAAAACAAACACTACAATTTACAATCATAGCAGATTTCACACAAAACGCATACATAATGTTGAATGTTCTATACTGAAAGAGTGAAAGACGATGAACTGACCAGGCATTAGGGCATTTTCTGAAATGTAGGTTTTCTTCGCGAGAACAGGTAACAGGAAGAGAGCCAAAACACCAGCAACGCAACAAACAACACTGCGTATACAGTAATAAGGAAAAGTAAACATTCAGTTCTTCATCCATCGTCAAAAACCTCTGAAAGTACATATGTGTATAGCATGAGTGAACGAGAGTGCGATAGGAGGAGGAGTACCTTACTAGAAGGCTGTGAGCAATGATGAATATACCAATACGGATAATTGGTCGATGTTTCTGTTTCTGCCCCTCGATTTCCGGCGTTGAAGCCATGGATGAACTCCAATCGGAGCGATCGGCGGCGAGCTCTTTTCGCCTAATTCGTATGAGAGAGAAATGCTTGGATCTGCTCGAACTCGTTGTTTGGAGCTTGGACTGTGTGATCAAATTGCGAAATTACAAATTTATGCCTTGAGATATGGATAACCTCCAACTTTGGCCCCTCTCAAGTTATGTTTTGTATTAATGGTCCTAATTCATTTCTACATAGAAACTTTTGCTAACAGACGTTAGCGTCTCCGTCACTAACAGATAAAAATTATTTTTTATGTTTGTTTCATACCGAAGTCAATTCAAACAAATATCAATTGATACAAAGGAAACCTAAAGAGAGATCAAATATCTTTGAATTTAATCACTTTCACATTGGGTTTTGCGATAAATTCTTTCATTCATGAATTCATAGCTTCTTATACATATGTGTTGCCCAACAATCTTCTTTATTTGGAAGGAACACTCATGTCCCCTTCATGAGGCCATGTTTTGTCCTCTTCTCATTTTTTTTCATCTATAACTTGTATCCTTCTCTTGTCACGTCTTAATGAGAGGGATATCCATTTGCCACCATATAACTTGTCAAAATAAACTTTAGTTGTTTGGGGATCTCATATATTTCTTTTTCAATTGGCTTCGTGAGACTCCATTTGGTCATTGGATTATGGACATAAAACTCAACTTCAATTCAATTATTTTCCGTGTTAGACATTTTCATTTCAAAATCTTCTCTAATTGGTGAACCAACGGTTTTTCGTCCTGCCCAAGAGTTTAAGCACATGAAGTAGCCAACATGTCATTATCACTCAATGGATTTAGAAAGTCATTGTCTTGAGTGAAGCTCAACTCCTTGTTAATTCCCCTTCTAGTATAAGATCCAAACTTTCATTATCATCTTTACCATCATTACTATATGAAACACCCCTTAAAAATCATTTTTAAACCTTTTAAATTATTTTGAAAACATCAATACGGAATTCGGTTCCATAACATTTAAATCATAGGTTTTAGTTAAAATGTGTACAAGAGTCTTTCGTTCAATATCATTACATAAGGTTACGATATATCATACAGTCATGGCATTCTAAATGTCTAAGCTTACTATCCTAAGTTTCATTTTCATAACATACATGTCAAAATAATAGGTTAGGCTTGGGGAGCCTAGTGATTAATATTAGAATCCGACTATGGAATGAAATTAGGAATGACAATAACCAATTCGTAAGTCCAAATTCCCAAAAACATTTGAGATGCCTTTTCTTTCAAAATATAAAACCTTTTTCAAAAATTCATTTCCTTGTATCACAAGTTATTTACAAAACCATTTCTTAATATTAATGATATAGTTAAAATTTTAGGATAAATGCATTAAATAAAACCATGCAAATGCATATGCAACTAACCCAACCCCATCCACAACTATCAAATTGATCCCTCACATTCAAAGGTACAATGATCTGGCTATTTTAGAATAAGATAACTACTTAAACCGTTGTCGAGGCCAACACTTCCCGGAGGCTCCTCGCCTTCCCAAATTTTAGGATAAATATGTGATCATTAAACACGTTTTCCATGGAATGGGTTTGAAAAGCCTATCCCGAATCATCGTGCTTGAATAAGGAGTACGTTTCTCCTTTGGTCCGTGATCCATGATCCTACGAATTTCTATGGAATTTCGCCCTTCTCTAATTACTCAAGTCATAAACTCATCCTACAAGCAATGCACAAGTAAGGATGCACCAAAATAACTTTTCCAAACCATATACCATTTTTCAAAACAAAACATATATATATATATATTGATTACATATGGTGATTAAATAATAAGAGTTTTATTTATGCTCAATTGTTTGAGACCATAGTTAATTAAGTTATTATTGTGTTTCACTTTGCATGTTTACTTTCCGAATAATTGGATTATTCAAACATCCACAGTCGCTCATACTTTTGGAAGTAAGTAGCGAATCAAGACTGTCATGAATTGAATTGTAGATTGTCTATGGAGATTAGACATAACAATTGTTTTGCTGCAATGTTCATGAATACTTGGAAATGGGGATTTTGAGTATTGGATAAACCCACGCTCAAAGTATTACTTCATGGATTTTATCACGAGTAATTTTGAGAAGATAATATCTTATATTCTTGAAACAGAGATATATGAGTTGTTATTTACAAGTCAGTTGTGCATTGGTAATATGTAAACACATTAGTAACTTGATGTTATAAAACGTATTGTTGTGTATGATCTGATAAGTAAATAGTACAAGCATATAAGTCAAATTTTATCCATTCCTTTTGCCCTTACAGTAAAAGCGATATATGTGGGCCCCTCGATGATTTGATGTCGACAAATAAAGCGCTTGGCCAAGCCTAGACTGAATTGATGTGTTCAATTGGTAGTCTGATTTCAATCGTCATAAATCAGAAATCGGGAAACAAATCTTGGACAGAGAGATTGATTATAATCCATATCTCATGTCCATATGATATCTTGTATAATGGAGGAATATTTGATCACTTATCTTAGGACACGTAACTGACTGGGTCAGAGTTCGACAACGGCTTTTGGTAGCTACAATTTGATACTTAATTCGGTAGTTATACTGGCAGTTATAGTTATTAGACTTATCCAAGTGGGAGACTGTTGGATTAGGTGTCTAAGCCCATAACTATAACTAGTATATACTTGAATTGATAGTAGCACAGTCCTTTTGGGTTGCTTTCATACTAGCAACTAGACAGGATGACCTATTGAGGAAGAGGAAGAATTTATTATTTGATTAATAAATTGAAATGAATGATTTATTAATATATTATGGAAATAATATATTAATTATAAATCATATTATTTAATTAATAGTTAGTCATAAATTAATTGGAATTAATTTTGGGATTAATTGAAAGTGCAGGGGCTGTTTGGAAATTTATTGATAGTTGAGGAAAGAAGCTTTAGAACCCTCCTAAAGAGGCTTGGACGAAATCTTCTAGGAAAGCCCTAGAATTTTCGTCCAAGGGCTTATGGATGGAAGTTTTAGGGTTTGCTTGGTCCTTAAGCAAATCAATTAGGGTTTTCCTACTTTTAACCCTAGCTTTGGCTCTAAGTCACCTCACTATATATAAAGACCCATACCCTTGTTAATTTTCGGCCACTAGAAACCCTAATTGCGAAAATTGAAGCTTCCTCCTTCATCTCATATCTCCTCCTCTTACTAAGTGTGTTTGTGAGTCATTAGAGGTGTAACACTTGTGGCGCTTGCTACCAATGGTTTTCAAGCATGGATTAAGATTGTTATTACTACATAATAATCAAAGGTATGTTTCATAACCCTAATTGTGTATTTTTATTATGTACTAGAAATCTAGGGTTTATACTTTGTTGTTCAATTTGTATGTTCAATTAGAGAAAACATAGATCTTATTTAGGGTTGCATGCACACATAGGATTGTTTGTTATGCTCAAAACCCATCATTAATGACCTCAACAAAGACCAAATATGAGGCTTAAAGGTCCTGGAGTAAATTTTACTTACAATAACCATAACTATGGAACCAAAACATGAGAAATCATAAACCAAACTAGATCTACATGAGAAAGCCATCAAGATTAAGACTTTATACCTCCAGAAGCTAGATCAAAATGAACAAGGCATGGATCTCCAAGCTCCAAGCTAACCCACACTTCTCTGAGGAGTTCTAGTTCTTCCAATTACACTAAAAATCCACCAAAAATCACTCCAAGGCTCAAAATCCTTCCAAATAGGGCTAGAGTTTCGAATTTAGGGTTAGAGGGGATGGAGGCTGAAGATAAGAAGAGTTGGAAATGAGTTAATGTGTTTAAATAGGGTCCAAGACCCTAATTAGGCTTTGGGTCTGAGTCACGAACACCCAATGTTCCTGGGGAACGCCCAACATACCTGAAGGAGCCTTCACGATCACCCAACCCTGAACGCCCAATATACATTCCTTGTACGCCCAACATTCCCGGCAAGCCCAAAATCCTCATAATTTCAAACGGTCATAGCTTTTTCCTTCCAACTCCGTTTTCGGTGATCCTTATATCCACAGAAAGGTATTGAGGAGCTCTACAACCTTATCTATTTACTTTTGACTTAAAATGTAACACTCCAAAAATCCTAAGAATTTAAAACTTTTAAAAACAACCATAAACCATAATTGTTTTACAAAATAACCATTGATTTAAAAGTATTATCCAAAATCAAAGTTTTCCCAAGACCCAATAACATAAAATAGGAAGATGTGTACGATCACGCCTTTGCTTTCCCACGATCATCAGAAGTACCTGAACCAATAATCCAAAAGTGTTAGTCAAAGCTTAGTGAGTTCCCCTAAGTACCATCACACAACATATAAAATACATAAATTAGCATACTGGGTCCACAACCTCCCGGTTGGATTGCCCTGCATACCACATACTGGTTCCATAACCTCCCGGTTGGATTACCCTTGGCCCACAACCTCCCGGCTGGATTACCCTTGGCCCATAACCTTCAAGTTGGAATGCCTCGATCTGTTGAATGACAGCACAAAGCAATAGCCTCAACCCTAACGCAACATGTCGACATATAACAAATAATGCGCATATTCAGTAGATAGATAATTATACAACTAGAATCATAGGTAGTCCTACAGATCTACCAGTCTAACACATATCAATATCTATCAGATAATCATACAGATCTACCACATACTCAACATGGCATAATCAGTGTCTAACAGGGTATCAATCCATTGGGCTGGCCTTGGTGCCTTCGACCCGTAAGTACAGTGATGAAAACTCACCTCTCAGTCTCCACACAAGCTGAATAAATCTTTTGTCCGACAACCGGCTCTACTCGACACCTATTATTCAAAATATGGCCCATCTAAAATTAATACAAAAATTCCCAAAATATCCTTTGTATCGAAATAGGTCAAACTCTACTAACTAGTCCAGTCATCCTAGCCAAGTTAACCCGGATGAGTACGCTGGGCTACTCATCTGTACGCAGGGCGTACTCCGCTTGACCTACAAATCAGGACTTTGACCGCATACGCGCATCGTACCGTTTGGTACACCCATCGTACGCACCTGGTCACTCT